ATGAATGTAAATGTGTACAAGTTTGTTTTGTTTCTGAGAAAAGTTCTCATTATGTAGCTCAAAATTGCCTCAAATTTATAATACCCTACTTGTTGAGATTCTAGGCATGGCACAGACAACTAAATCTAAGGGTTCTTTAGAAAACTTCCCTGCAGTATAAATTGCAGTCAAGATCACAGCCATGTAGCCCAGGGCACTTGTATTATGGAGCTACCCTCACACCTTGCATGGCAACGAGTACATTATTTTTAAAAATCTGTATCTGGAGGCTAGAGAGAGAGAGAGAGACGGCTCAGAGGCTAAGAGTTCTGGTTGCTCTTCCATTAGCCCTGTATTCACTTTCCAGAACCCACATGGCAGCTCATAACCATCTGTAATGCCAGTTGCAGGGGTTCCAACACCCCTTCTGTGCTCCGTAGGCACCAAGCACCTACATAGTACTCATGTACAAGCAGACTAAACACCCAAATACATAAAACAAAAAATAACATTTTAAAAAAAATCTGTCCCTACAGCTGCCAAATTGTGTCATAATGCTTTGTACTTAATAAAATAATGGTTTTAGTATACTTTTACTCCAGTATTATTTCCAAAGCCAGAATATAAAGCAAAAAACTTCTTGTTGTATGTTTCAAATGTTTATATTAGACAAATTCTACTTACAAGATATATATGTACCCAAAATGTGTATATATGCATGTGTATATGTAGAAGTGTGTGTGTCTCCTTGTAAACTCAACAGTGGTATTATTGGTGTATGATATAATTAAAAAGAACTATGTCTTTAAAAGCCTATAGGTTGGCTTCTTCTACTTCGGGAAAACACCAAATGGCGGATGACGCCGGTGCAGCGGGAGGGCCCGGGGGCCCAGGATTAGGAGGCCGTGCCGCGGCGGCTTCCGCGGAGGCTTCAGCAGCGGTCTCAGGGGCCGCGGTCGTGGTCGAGGCCGTGGCCGTGGTCGAGGCCGTGGGGCTCGTGGAGGTAAAGCCGAAGACAAGGAGTGGGTCCCTGTCACCAAGCTGGGCCGCCTGGTTAAGGACATGAAGATCAAGTCCCTGGAGGAGATCTACCTTTTCTCTCTGCCATTAAGGAATCCGAGATTATTGACTTTTTCTTGGGGACATCTCTTAAGGATGAGGTTCTAAAGATCATGCCAGTACAGAAACAGACAAGGGCTGGCCAGCGGACCAGGTTCAAGGCTTTTGTCGCTATTGGGGACTACAACGGTCATGTTGGTCTTGGTGTTAAATGCTCCAAGGAGGTAGCCACTGCTATCCGAGGGGCCATCATCTTGGCCAAGCTTTCCATTGTCCCTGTGAGGAGAGGCTACTGGGGGAACAAGATTGGCAAGCCCCACACTGTTCCATGCAAAGTGACAGGCCGCTGTGGGTCTGTGTTGGTGCGTCTCATCCCTGCCCCCAGAGGCACTGGCATCGTCTCTGCTCCTGTGCCCAGGAAGCTACTGATGATGGCCGGTATTGATGACTGCTACACATCAGCCAGGGGCTGCACTGCCACCCTGGGCAACTTTGCCAAGGCCACCTTTGATGCCATCTCTAAGACCTACAGCTACCTGACCCCTGACCTCTGGAAAGAGACTGTGTTCACCAAGTCTCCTTATCAGGAATTCACTGACCATCTTGTGAAAGCCCATATCAGAGTCTCTGTTCAGAGGACCCAGTCTCCAGCTGTTGCCACCACATAAGGGGTTTTATACAAGAAAAATAAAGTGAATTAAGTCTGAAAAAAAATAAATAAATAAAAGCCTATAGGTTGAGAAGGACTCTGAAAGTTACATTATAGACAGAATTTCTAAGCCAGACAAGGAACATCTAAAATACAGGTACCCATTCAGTTATTCATTCATTTACATGAATGTAGATGAGAGTACAGTGAATAAATAAAATGTTTCAAAGAGCCTTAATCAGGGTCTCATTAAAGACAGCACAATCTGTGGAACTTTGAAGAAAAGGAAAGGCAAACTTAACCCTGGGACCAGACAATTGCTGATACTGCATCAGCTGCCCAGAGGGCAGGTATTAAGTATTGGATCTTTGGAACTACTGGGTAATTTACCATACCAGGCATTATTTTAGCTTCCTCTTGAAGTTCTAAAGTTATACCATTAGTTTAATTTACGCCACCATGCCACCTGGGAGTCTTGAAAATCAAACAGCACTTTCTTCTAGGTATGACTCTTTGTTTAGCTATTTCTAAAACTGTATTGAATTTTATCACTTATTATAAAAAAAAAAAAAAGAACTGGCTCACAAACAGGGCCTAAACTCTAAAAATAAGTCACTCCTGGGTACATTGACTTTAGATGGCAAGCATGTTGCTACACACACACAACACACACACACACACACACACACACACACACACACACACACACTAGGGTGGAGGTGCAGATTATTGCAGACATGGCAAATGATGAGCCCTGCCACCTGAAAAGTGAGAACACAAAACAAGATTTGGAGAACCAGTGACTGGAAAGAAAAAGAGAAGACTGACAGAAGATACATTTTTCCATTACAAAAGTACATGGATGTTCCAAACATATTTTGATTAAGAAACAGGAGTGTACTGACTGACTTAACTCTTCTCACCTATACAAACTCAGATGTCTTTGTCTCCTAAATCAGTGTTTTTGAAAGCATATACACTTCCCAGCTATGTGTGTTCGAAGGGTCTTCCCAATGAAGCTCTAACCGCCATAAAAACCACAGAGGCAAGCACTACATGTCAACCTAGGAAAGAACACTTGGGAATATTCTGGTACCCTGAATCTTGTTCTTGACACATCAAAGATCAAAGTATCGTACCCTCTCTCTCTTAAAGAAAGGACAGTGGGAAGGGACCCAGTCTCTACTGGGTTCACCCCATGAAGGCAAATGTAACTATACATTAATAAACCCACCAGGGTTTAAAATCAAAAGAAAACAGGAAAACACAGAGATACTGATCATTTTAATGAGATTCAAAAACCTGACTCAATATATTAAGCAAACTGCTACTAAGTCCCTTGGACTTAGCTGAGAGTTTTAGGGCTACACAGTGTCAGGGCACACTCTGCTCCCTCATGGGCACCTTCCAGTTCTCATTAATTAGGGGGAAGATATTGTTACATGGGAACTGGGCCATGATTAAGAATTATATGGAAGAAAGGTACTAGTTATTAGACTTGAATACTTCCCAGATCAAAATCTCCCCACTGTGGGGATGCTGCTAGTAAATCCACCATGTCCTTTGATGGGGTCATCTCATCATATCTTTAGAGTCAGAGAAGACAGGTGCTCCCAAGGACAATGACCTCAACAGCAAGTGTCAAACTCTAATTTAACAAAGACATGTATAAGAGCCACACTAAATTTCCTTATCAATGTGTCAGAGTAGGCACCAGGATTGCCAGGCATATTATCCAGAATGAAAACCAATTGGAATGTATTAAAAGTTAGTGTTTGGGAGTGGAAAACAGTTTTAGATGGAAAGTGTAGAACTTGAAAATAAGAAACAAGGACGAACTAGGCCTGTCTCAGGAAGAAATCTGAAGACTTCAGAGTTTCAAAGCATACACAAACATTAAGTTCTTTCCAGGTCACCAATGCAAGATGGAGGGTTGGGGTAGGCACAGCACAGGGGAGCTCACGCTTTGTGTGTCAGGCTTTGTTTGAACTCCAAGTCTTATGCTCTCAATGCCCACAAACAATGAGAGTACTACCATGGGAACACTTGTTCCTCAGACACAAAACCACATGTACACACATGTACACACACCCACACACATGTACACAAAACCCATATCTAAAAGCAACCGGTGGCCTCTAAGAGACCAGTTCTATGGCAGGTCTCATCATAAGGAACCAATTTGTCTTCCCCAGCATTCAGGGACTTAGTCTCAGTGAACTTAAAACTGCAATAACCAAAGTCAAACTAAGAAACTAAATGGTGGAAAAATACTAACACTAAAAGTTTAGCCTGAGGACATCATTACCCTTTACAAGCAAAGAAGTAGATCCAAACCTACAACAATTTGAATGTAAAATCACTGACTTCCAGCCCTGGGCTCCCTTTAACGCTGGGGCAGATGAAGCCAAGCAGTCTCTAAGTCTCCGAATTTCTAAATTAGCTTGACCAAGACCAATTGAGTCACATTGAGTTAGCAATGAAACCCAAAGTCCCAAGAAAACAAAAGTCTGTATTTTTCACTTCCACACTCCCCAGTGTCAGCCACAGATCCCAGAAGAAACAAATGGATTCACAACAAAGGCCCCCACAGAACTTCTGGCTTTGTGGTAGCTCTCCTGACCATTCCAGGTTTTGAAATGCTCAAGTCTAGAACTTCAGTGCTCCCTAAGAATGGAGAGCCAACGAGTGAGGTTAAGATGAGCCAATAACCAAAATATTTAAAGAAAAAGAAAAAAAAAAAAAATGCTAGGCCCGGGGGCATGTGATGAAGGCTGTTTGCAGTGCTAGGCCTGGCCAGGACTAGTCAAGCTATTCGGGAGCCTTGAAAAATGAGGGTCGCAAGATTCCCACCACTTCCATTTTGGCCTTTATTTAAAAAAAAAAAAAAAAATGAGTGGGGAATGTGTATAGATGGACTTCGGTCCATCCATTTAAGGCAATTGCAAGCCTACAATGTTAAGCCTTTTGGAAGGTGAGAAAGCCAGCCAGAAGAAAGGAGCGGGTTGGAGGGAGAGAAGGAAGGAGGGAGGAAGTAGAGGAAAGAAAGAAGGGAGAAGAGCGGAGCAGAAAGCGCAGGAGAGGGTCATGTTTCAAAACAAAGGCTCTACTCTGAACGCCCCTTGGCCCTGGCCAGCCTGGCTGGGCTGTGATTTCTACCACATTAAGCGTCCATTGGGCAGGGCCAGGCCGCAGCCCGGGCCGAGGAACCTCCCGCAGCCGCGGGCGGGCCAGGCCGGGTGGCCGCGCGCCTTGGCCGGCCCCGCGACCCGCGCAGCCCCGCTCCCCGCGAGCCCAGCCCGGCCCGGCCTACCTTCCTTCACGCCCGGCAGCTTGGACTGATCCACACTCACGTCGGCCATGGCGGCCGCTCGGCCTCGCGGGCGCACGGAGACCTCGGCGCACGCCCACCCCGCGGGCCGGCCGCAGCCACCCGCGCGCCCCGGCCGGGTCGATGCCGAATTCCCCCCCCCCCCCAAGGCCGGAAATGCACCGGAGTACAGTACGGAGGGAGAGAGGAGACAGAAAGGCGGCGGCGGCGGCGGCGGCGGCGGCGGCGGCGGCGGGGGGGGGGGAGCTGCAGGGCTGCACCGCACGCAGAGCCAGACTGCCTCCTCCTCCTCGCTTTTGTGTCTGCCGCGCCCAGCCGGGCCGCAAATCTGTGTCCTGGAGGCCCCGCTGGACCGAAGGCTGCACCTGCCAGCCGGACCTGACAGGTCCTTTCTGAGCCCCTCTCTGAGATTGAGACTTCTGGAAAATGCTGAGTGCCAAGCAGACTTTCTTATATCTAGAGTTTAAACATGTCTGGAGCTTTAAAGGGGGAACAACACATCGAATTAAAGCCCACAGAATTAATAGAATTTGGGGCCTGCTGGAAAGTGTTCACAACCAGCCAGGGGGAAGTGAGTCAGTCATTCAGCAATAACCAACACATGTCTACCAAATCTGATATTCGGTATTTGGGTGGTGAGATTGTGACAAAGCCTTGAATCTGGATTCTCACTATTCCAACAAGCCACACAAATTCTGGCATTTGTGTTTCCCTCAAATATCCTTTCCCGTGCGTACAACATTCACTTTCCTTTGCGAACTGTCTCTTGGTTCTAAGGGGGAACATTTCTGTCCTAAACTTGTGTCAAACATGCTCTTATCTTTCAGTCCATTAGTCCACAAAACATGCATATTCATTAAAGAATGGGTGTGAGATCAAATCAGATGGAGCTGCATGCTCCCCTGGGCTTGCTACATAAAGGGCACGGTAGCAAATTAGTATTCTGTTTCCTGAGTGGGAGGTCACTCTCACTAGCAGAGAATGAAACTAAACTGGAGATAAGCAAAGTTAAAATAAAAAAAAAAAAAAAAAAAAAAAAAACTAGATAAAAAAGGAAAAGGCACTTTCTGTTGGAAACACAGTAGCAAAAACAGTTCCTCCTCAGAGCCTCAGGGTTTGCTCCCAGGATTGCTGGGCTGTGTAATTTTGCTCCAGCATCTCTGAAAGTTCACTGGGTCACCTCAGCCACTGGCATGAGGGACTGTTCTAGCTCAGTGCAGAACTCAGTGCAGAGGTCAGGGGGAAGTGGTGTGGTTTTTACTTGACATTAAAATTGGTTAGCAAAAATTAAGATGAAAATTAGAGCAAAATTAGATCAGAAGTTGACAAGCAGCTGCCCACAGACCGAATCCAGCTTTCTGAATTTGAGAGACTATTTTATATTTGTTCAAATGCTACAATTTAAATGGCTAAAAACATCGAATCTTTCTTAAATTTTGCCTTTTAAGTCCAAAGTCTAAAGCACAAGCAAAGCCTCTACAAGAAAAATGTGCATATCCCTGTAACGAAACACTTCTTAAACTAAGTGTGAAGAAGAAAATCATAGCAAAGTAGGCTTGAGGGATATTTTTAATTGTCCTGCCATATATGGATCTGTTCTGAATTTTCTATAGTTATAGAGAATATTATAATGACTGTATTTCTTTTCTTTCCTTCTCTCTAAATTATTTCCACTTTTTTACCAAGTACTATCCTGGAGGATGAGCATCCATAGATATATCACTTGGGGACTCTCATTTGTGCTTTCTATTGAGTTTGACCAGAAGTAATAATAATAATAAAAAAAAAATCAGAAGAAAGAGAGAAACAGAAACAACAGAGTCTGTATTACATCCTCCTTCCATACACTAAACGGAACCATGATGGGCTAGATGACAACTTGCAAAGGCCCATTCTTTCCTCCAGTTGTTTTCAGGGACCAGACACAAGCATCTGTACTCTTTAAGCCATCTCACATGCCCACAGACATTTATTAAAAATATACCAGTTAGGGCTAGAATGCTGCTTTAGTGTTTAAGAGTAACAGTTGCTCTTGCAGAAGATCTGGGTTAGATTCCCAGCACCCGAATGGGGGCTCACAATTGTCTGTAACTCCACTTCCAGGGGACCCAATGCCCTCTTCTAGCTTCAACAGGTTCTAAGCATACATGTGGTGCACATGCAGTTAAACACTAAAACATAACATAAAATAAACCTTTTTTTTTTAAAAGAACAAACACCAAATAAGACCCCATTTTATTCTTTGCTTTTGAAAATCATTACTGTTTTTACTGATATCTTTGTAGACTGTGTTGAACTTGTTCAAACTTTTTGACTTTAAAGATGAAGGTTTTAGCTGGATGGTGGTGTGGCACACCTTTATTCCCAGCACTCAGGAGGCAGAGGCAGGCGATCTTTTTGAGTTCGAGGCCAGCCTGGTATACAAAGCGAGTTCCAGAGCAGCCAGGGGAGCCTCATCTCAAAAAAACTAACTAGCTAAATAAATAAATAAATACAAAGATTTTTCCATTTGTTCTGATAGAGACAAGATCTGGCTTAAGCAGTTACAAGTTACAGCCTGATAGGCCTGAAGTATGATGGCAATAAGTAAATCTAATTGATTCCATATTACTGACAATTGTGGTCATTTGCCTTGTTGAGTTCTAGGGAGTTCTGGGCATTCATAAGTTCTCCCCACTCCTGTGCCTATGGCTAAGATGAGGCCAAGAGAAACTAACAATGGGACAGCCTCTGGCTTTTTAGTTTGCGCTGGAGATATATGTAATTATAAGAATGCATACTCTTATTAAGTGTAATTTTGGGGAGGATAGATAACAAGATTCATCTGTCAGTTCCATTGGCTGTGCAGTAGATAGTCCTGGATATGAGTACAGGCAGGAGGTAAGAAAAACACTAAGTTGTTGATGTTTCTAATGATGCATTAGAAAAGTAAGGGTCATGGCTGCCCTGATAAGAGGTCAAGGTGTGCTATGAAAGGGGAGATTACGGAAGGTTTTGAACCCAGTAAGCAGTTTTAAACAGATCAAAGCCTAGATTAATATTAAAAATGTTTACAGCCAATTAATATCAAATCTGTTTAATTTTGGATACAGAGACCAAAAACATAAAAGCAAATTAATGAATCTCATTGTGTGGGTAAAAGAGGGTGCACCATGGATATGTCTTTCTAAATAACTAGAAAAACTAGCAGCAGATACGAAGGCAGAGCAGCAGGCTTGGAGTAGAGAAAGGGTTTTACTAACTAGGGAAAAGGGCAGAAAGCACAAGTGAGCCTGTTGTGTATGTTACTTTGGGTTTTTTTCTTTTCTTTTCTTTTCTTTTTTTTTTTTTTTTTTTGGTTTTTGTTTCATTTTGTGTTGATTTGGTTTGCTTTTGGAAGCCCCTCCACTGATCAGGAGAGACTCAAAATAGGAGATGGGTTTGGATTTATCCAGTTATTGTGTACCAGTTGCCTGGTGAGATACGGGAGGATTGGGGGAGGGGGCTCCTCTGTGGTCTAAGATTTCATTAAAGGATTTAAGGGATGGCCTTGTGGGTTGAGCCTGAGAATGGGAATGACAGGTTTAATCAGAGCCCAACAGCATCTTTTTTATAGCCTCAAGCTGGCAGGAGTCTCTCTAATGGTCACATTTCCTTCCAATGCCCTGCAGTGCTGGGGTGCAATGGCTTGGCTTCCCAGTGTTGCTACCTGCCTCATCCTGCCAACACCCCTGTGAATAGTCTCTTAGTTTTCTCCTTTTCAGTTAAATCATGTTGATTATAAAACATTTCCTGTCGAGAAGCTGACTAATTTAGTGACACATTCAAAAGGCCATGACTTCTCTTTCCTTTAAAAACCCCCACATTTCTGGCCAGAAGAAAAATGAAAACAAACAAAAAAGTTAAAGTCTTGCCTATTCCTCAAGCCTTTTAAGAGAGAAAGTAATGAAAAGGAATGAGGTTCCCCATCCAGTTTCTAAAGTCAAAGATTTGAAACCCCCTGCATGGTTGAATTCATCTTCAGTGACTCACACCCATGCTGTACCTGCCCCAAATCTGATCAATTCAAGCTCAGGGTTGCGAGAACTTTAGCAGAGGATTAAAAGTAATGTGAGGGAATATCTCCTTTCTAAAAGAGTTTAATAAGGATGAATGTGTGATTAATTCCCATAACCATGTATTTTGGTATCCTAAAATGTCAGTTTTGTAATTTAGATAATAGTCCTGCAAGAAATATAAATCCCTAAGCTTAAGTAGATCCTAAAATTTTTCTTTCAGGGTCAAGTAATGATTTGAATGCTATGCTAACATGTAAGAACTTTTATTTATGAAGCAATGTGGGTACCATTAATTACTATTTAAGAAAAGATATGATAAGGTTAGTGGGTTTGGTGGCATATGCAATATCAGATACAAGATGTAGAGGCAGCAGATTGTACCTTTGAGAACAGCCTGGGCTATCAGTACCCATCTCACAAAAAAAAAAAAAAAAAAAAAAAAAAAAAAAAAAGGAGTGAACAAGGCAAGAGTAATTTTATATCAATAAAAAGATTACCTGTCAGAATGTGTAGAAAAAGATCAAAAGAAATCTGCTGGGAAAACATAAGACTCCACAAATTGAAGCAACTAGAAATATGTACACTCTATGACTCTATGATCAGGGTTCATATCTGTTGTGCTGACCCTCCTCACTAACACTTAGACTAGTGCTTCATACATAATAAGCACTCAATAACTATTTGTTAGAAAGGAACAAAGTTATATAATGTGTTATCAGTAACCATCACAAATAGGAAGGGACAAATGGATTAATGATTCTAGTTCTTGACAACACAGGAACAAGGGCTGTACATCCAGGTACACAAAGTAGGAAAGACTCATCTCTCCCATTTGACAACCAATTGTTCCTGCCTCATCAAGAGGATCTACCTAAGAGATAAGGGAGCTGCTCCAAAATGAGGCTGTCAATAGAAGGACATTCTGCCCACATCAAGGAAATCGTGTGACCTCCTTCCACCCCCTGACGCCATATCAGAGTATTATTCAATATATAGGTTAAATGATAGTCATAGTTTCTGAGTTTAGGAGCGAGATCAGCTGCATTAGAAGGTATAAAAGATCTAGTTTCTCCCAAAGCCTCTGCCTCTTTGTCTT